GTTTACTCCCAAGAGATGAAGCCACAGCTGGAGCCCCAAACCACCACTGCACCCTGCAGACATGGGACTGAGTTCAGAATAGACACAATTGAGATGCTCAGCTCTGGTACCCTGTTTGGGAAAACAAGACAGTGTGAACCTAGAGCAGTGGTTTGCACAGACCAGAAGTTCAGTTTCTGTTCAAGCTCAGAAGTTTATAAAAGTATCGCAGTGCATTTGTGTTTTATTTGACCAACCTTGATCTGAATGATAACAATTGGCCTCATTCACTAGGTGTAAAGTTCTTCTGTGTGTGCAAATATGAGATAATCCACATAATTATCAGTGAATGAGACCCACAGTTTTACTTATTTAAACATACTTTTTTGTAGTCAAAGCTGCTGATTTTCTATTGACTGCAGGTTTCAGTGAGATTTGATTATAAAGAAGAGTCAAATAGACACATCCTTTGAAACTGCACCATTGAATCCTGTGATCCTTTCTCTGGCAAATGATAAAAGCTTGGCCTCGGATAAGGAGCCACGTTTACACTTTTCTTCTGTCTCTGGCCCTGCGGAAACCCTCCACGATTTCCGCCGACTTGCTTTACTGATAGCCGATTAACTTGCTGCATTAGCATAACATTATCTGATTAGTTTGCTAGCTTAGCAAAAGCGCTAACAGATAAGGACTGAAAACAATTTTTAAACTAGTAGTGAAAACAGTACCCGTGTGTTTCCGAAGCATCATGCAGGTCTTTATGTGGTTCCCTACAGAGATCTTTTCAAAGGTCCATTCAGCTCTATCACAACAGCTGGCCTGTGTAATGGTCACCAAAGAGAGATTGTATTTACATATTATGACAGACTAGTAATGTCTGACATTATGATTTAACAATCTTTTTCCAAAAAAAATAAAAATAAAATTGCATTAATCTGAAGAATGTTAAAAAGAAGTTTACTTTACTAGAGTACTTATAATAGGAAGAATAAACTTAAGTATGAAATGAATGTAATGTTTTCAGGCACTTACAGTAATTGCATGTTAACTGCAATTAAATAAAAAATGTATTATAGTTTTAATTTATAGTAAATGCAGTTAGTTGAACATGCTTTTTGGACCAACTTAGTTAAGACTTAAGTACATCTTTATATGTAATTTCAAAATTACTTCTACTGTCTTTGAAATATGGTTAAAGTGTACTGCTGAATGTACTGACACGCATTTATGGTAAACTAAAATATACTTTAGTGTCATTTATATTGAAACTTTTATGTCGTATTTAAATATTTTGTTTTTAGAATTACACATTTTTAATGAGGAAGTTGCAATTTGAAATGTATTATTTTTAAATGTAATATTGAAATACACTGTACAGTTATAATTAAGTACTTAACATGTGCTTTAGTATGTTAGTCAACACATCAAAATAAGTGTACTTCATTAAAGCACGACAAAAGATAATTAAAACATAATGATGTAACCTACTTTAAAGTAAAACTTTTAATTTGACACTATAAGTGTACTTTTTAAAAGTATTATAACATAGTCATGAAAGTGTCTCTCTTTAAGTGACCTGTTATTTCATTAGTATTATATTATCTGCAAGTACATTTCTTTAAAATATATTTTTATATAAAAGTGTGGGGTACACAAGATACAAACACTAGGTATTTACATTTTCTGAAGCAAATATGAGTGACACTTAACTGTGCAAAAGGTTTGAAAAGCCCACCCTCTATTTGCTGATAGTCTGGTCTCTTGATACGTTATGTGCTGACCTTTAATGCCTAGACTTGGGAGTTTGTTCATATCATTAAACTTAAGTATGAGCAGAGATGGGCATGAATACATCAAAAAGTATTTTGTTACAAATTACAAATATTTTCTCATCAAATGTATTTATTTAAAATACAAAATACTGGTTTGAGAAATGTATTTAATTCAAATTCAAGTAATTTTAATTTGAACATACAAAAATACATACAATATTTACAAGCAATCATTTGAAGTGCAAGAGACAGTGCCATTACAGTAGAGTAAGATACAATACATTTAGTAATAGTGGAGTTAGAAACACACATAGTAGAGAAAGAGAAGCGCTTTCCCCTCCTTGAACAACTTATAAACAACATATTCTTTAACTCTAACACTAGACACTAAAATATTATTGAGCATTAGCCAGGATGGAGTCTATTTACTTCAGCTTAATAATTTATTCTTCATATTGTAAAACTTTTAATTTAAGAATACACACAAAACTGACCTTCAACAGACAGAAAACTTAGTAATGAAAAACGCTATCTTTATCCTCAAGAGGATACGATCTTTATTAGTAAAATAAGCACAAAGATGCAAATAACAAACAATAGGACTAATACAATTTAGGAAAGATATAAATTAAATAAAGATTATTATAAAGATCCTTTATGTTATTCATGTACAGTAGTCTAACAGCATTTTAGTAAGAAATAACAGAAATGTAATCATCAAATGCTAAATAAAACTGTCTTTACTCTATGAATGAAATGTAGATTGATCATTGTCAAAGTTTCAGTAAATTCAGTAAAGAGCAGTAAGTTATTTGCTCTTTGTCTTATTGTCTGATTACGATTAAGGATATAGACAGCAGCAGGTATGTTAGGCTGCTGACACCTTAAGACGCATACATGGATCCAATATATTGATCCATATTTCTTCTAATTTCTTATATTCACTTAAGACACAACCGACTGTGTTTACGTGAATACCATCAAGCATGTCTATTTTTCATTCATGTTTCTTAATCGCTCTAACGTGTCAAAAATTAAGCATTCCTGTGGAAAAGTATATACTGTCACATTGCCTAGTCCTAATCAAGAAGATGGCTCAAGCGATTTCACTGTCAACAATGAAGATTAACTCCTAAAAATGCTGATATTTAGCTGTTAAAGGGGCTCTATGTAGAATTCAGAACCACGTTATTAGCGACACCGGTGGCTGTTAAGTGAACTGCAGCCAGCAACTTACTGCTCGTGCACACACTCCATAGTTATGCGAGCGAGCAACGGCCAAAACAGTGAGTGAACGTGATTCACTGACATCATGTCGACAGATGAGGTTCATTCAATTTACCCGTTATGATCGTTTCCTTTTGATTTTCCCGGCAAAACCACCCTGAATCCTTCGCATAAAAATCAGTCATCAGGTTTCATCTCGTTTTTTAAGTTTTCGTTACATGCTGTTCACACATTGGCAATAAAAAAGATTAATACTTGAAAATGCTTTTATATAGAGCCCCTTTAAAAATGTAATTTTGCCCATAGAAACAAGTAGCTAACTCTAGCTAGCAGGCAAATTTACAAGTTCTAGAGCAGCACAGCTGTTTACAAATTGCTCTTTTCTTCTTTCCTGTAATGACATTCAGTGAGCAATATCTGATAGTATATATTTCAGTACATACTTAACCAGTTTGCACTGAGCACCAAAACAGCTTCTTTCATTGTTTTTTTCCCGGTTGGATCCAACTATGGGCAAATTAAGATTCCATCTATGGATCCAACAGGATATCATATGATTCACTTGCATCTAGCCAAAAACTGTAATAGGCTATAGTTGATAGTACTATCAACACAGGTGAAGAAACTTATTGTATTATCTGAGAATAAGATGAGCCGTAGTTCACTGACAAGCTAGGCAATATCGCGTTCATAATTGAATGCGATTCATCTGAGATTTTGCCTAATTGTCAGTGAACTACGGCTCTGTGTAGTAAATGCCGCTCCATCTGAAAGCAGGTGATGGAGATTTACTACTAATCACAGAACCGGCTTTACTGACGAGATGCGCATGACAATCGCATGCGATTAATTGCACAGCCCTAACAAATTACAATCTGATTTTTTTTGTCCAGCGAAATACAAATTACAAAATACTCACAAGTACTTACATACATATTGTAAATACATTTAATTAAAATCCTGCCCGTCTCTGAGTATGAGCAATAATAATAGTGCTGCTCGTCTGAGCAAACAGCATGGACTTCGAGAAGCAGGCTGGGAGAGAGTGTCAGATGATGTGTGAGAAATTGTGAGAGAGGATTGACTGCAGCACAAAGGTCCACTCTTGTGTGTCTGTGTAATATACACAGTGTGTGGAGTCTCTGTATGTTTACTGTGGTAAGGGCTCAAACAGTGGCCTGATTGTCTGTAGCCAACATAATAAAGGCAAGACAGAGAGCAGGCCTCACTTTAAACCATTATAAAACAGGTAGAGGCCTCTTTTCCTCCTCAAGTCACCAAATATCACAGCAGGATCGAAAATCTGTAGGCGTTGGTTACAATTCCAGCCATTCTGGATGGTAGAAATGCATTTGATTCAATATTAAAATGACTCTTGAAGCGCGCAGTAAAGGTACAGCCTCAGCGTGTGTGTTAGAGGTGCATGTGTTGATGTTTGTGTGGATACGAGTCTAATGTGATGAATGGCTTCGGCTGCAGGAATGCACTCTAACCTTGTTATAAAGTCACTTTAGTATAAATAATGCAAAGCAGCATGGAGCAGCACACTTATATAGCTGAGAGAGTAAATAAATCAGCAGTTTAGGAGTCCTCCGCTTCGGTCATAATATCAGCATCTTGAAGGAATGATTGAAAATCTCACCTAATTCAATCAGCACGGCTGTTTACTTTTGTGGTTTAATAAATTGAACACAGATCGCTCCTGTAAACAGAGCTGTAGCTATTACAGGTAAGTCAGGCTGCATAGTTTTTGACTGCATTCATGTTCGTTCATTCTGGATTTAGATATATTCATAACTTCATAACAGCTATTTCCCCTTCATGTGCATTTGGACATATTTGGATGTTTCTTCAACTACAGAACTTTTAGGGCAGATTTCAACTTTCTGCTTTCTGTTAAATAAATTGAAATCGGTTTTGGAAACTTTTCATCATGCCTTCGTCTAACTGAATTTCAAAAGGATGTGAAAATGATTCGTGTGTATTGATACATAATGATTTTTTTTTTCTGTGATTTTGCAGTGCTGGCTCGGCTGGTTTCAGACCTGCAGGCGTTCTTGCTGGTTCTGGACAGTGAGAATCTCAGTTATATCGCTCAGGCCCAGAAAAAATCAATCTCAGAGCTGCTAAATAAACTGCAGGACAATAAGGATGCACCAGGTAACCACTTGACTATATGAAGTAAATTTGTAAATTGTATATGCAAATATGCACTACTGTTGAAAAGGTAGGGTTGGTGAGATTTTTTAATGTTTTTGAAGTTTGCTCACCATTTATTAGATCAAAAATCCAGTAAAAAACCCTGTAATATTATGAAATATTATTACAATTTAAAATAACTGTTTTCTATTTTCATAAATATTGAAATATAATTTATTCCTGTGATGTAATGCTGAATTTTCAGCATCATTACTCCAGTCTTCAGTGTCACATGATCCTTCAGAAATCATTCTAATATGCTGATTTTTTTTGTTTATTATCAATGCTGAAAACAATGGCTCTGCTTAATATTTTTGTGGAAACTGAATAATTTTTTCAGGATTCTTTGATGAATAAAAAGTTCAAAAGAACAGCGTTTGTTTGAAACAGGAATCTTCTACCACATAAATGTCTTTACTGTCACTTCAATTTAATCTATCAGTTTAAATCAATTTAGTCGCTGAATAAAAGTGTTTAAAAAGTATTCAATGTAATAAATACAAAATATATACGTATATATTAAAATTACACCTAACATCTGAAAGGTAGTGGATATATGTAATGTTGTAATGTTTGTTGATTAAAATGATTCATTGCTACTGCACTTGTTTTTTAGTTAATGCATATTTAGTTCCTTTTAACAGTAGAGTTTTTAGGCGACTTGTTTCATTTCTAGGTGGTATTTAACAGTGATCTTTAATGGTAATTAAATTCCACCATACAAAGAGTGCACTTTTGTCAAACATCCCATCTGTGAACTACCGCTGCAGCACAGCCCCGACACAGCCATCATGTTTTATATGCTTTTTCATAACTGTCTGAGATCCACCTGCAGCTGTAGACACTGAGCTGAACTGAGAGCATTTACAGGATAAAGAGAGTCAGTGCAGGGTCACAGAGAGGTTGAGAGGGACAGATGTTCATTTCAAAGACCACTGCTCTCATATAACCCTTACATATGAAAAAGATCATCTTTACCATCTTTACTGCTACATCTTTAAGACTTTTATATGTAAATCTCTGTTATGAATGGCTAAACTCTTCATTCTGCAGTTTGTAGCTTTCCTTTGGGTTTTGAGTTCTTTTTTGTGTAAATAAATGATGATTGTATGTGTTTTATGTTTAGTAGAGGATGCGGAGTACATGATTATGAACTGTCCCTCTGGAGGCCCCAGTGATCTCAGGGAAAGCACCACTGCTGAGGCTCATTCGACAGAGGAAACTCTTTCAGTCAGCTCTACTGACCTCCTGCAGCCCGGGGTGAGTCCAGCCCTCCTGCAATAACCACTACATGATATAATAACACTTAATGAAAGATTTATTGACATGGTATGAGCTCTAAATATATAATCTTACAGCTTTCTTTGGCTCGTCAAAGAAGAGAGATTTTTTATTTTGTATGAAAGCCCATTTTACATGCAAAGCATATATTGAGTTGGTGTGGACCCTGTATACATAATACATGTTCCTAGTCTTATCTTGCAGCATTCCTCTGTTCATAGTCAGTTTTCCAAAGAAAAAAATGTTTGTCTTTCTAATCTTCCATCAGAATGTATTAACTGCTGCAGTCACATCACGTCACATAGCCCTACCTATTTTACTCATTGAATATTTAGTTTTACTCAAAAATACATCATGTTACATTCATTTAGTGGGCTTGGAATGCTGATTTATATTAACATTTTGAATTTCAGTGTTATTTTAATGTTATATATTATGACATTTCCTGTTACGTTTGTGTAATGGGCTTGGAATGTTATTTTTTGTTTCATTTTTTACTTTCAGTGTTATTTTAATATTATTTATATACTATTATGGTATTTAATAATATTTGAATTAGCTTTTATTTTTGACTTTAGTTAATAACGACCAGTATCTTCTAACAATTTGTACTTTAATGGAAAATCTTTCCACCAGAGGTTTCACTCTGTATGGTGAACTGTGTGATTTTTTTTGTTTGTTGCTTTAGCCAATATGACAGCCGCCTTGGATTTTGGCTGGCCATATGATCTGAACGTATATATATATATATATATATAGCCTAATAATCAAATTGTCAAAAAATCTAAATAACAGTAACAGGAAATATACACTACTGTTGAAATATTTGTGGTCTGCAAGATTTTTTTTATGTTATTGGAAATTTTGAATTTATTTGGTCAAAAAAAAAAAAACAGTAAAAACAATAACATTTTGCATTTTGTTTTACAATTTAAAATAATGTTTTCTATTTTAATATATTTAAAAATGTAATTTATTCCTTTGATGCAAAGCTGAATTTTCAGCATTATTACTCACATGATCCTTCAGAAATCATTCTAATATGCTGATTTGCTGCTCAAAAAACATTTTTTATTATTAATGTTGAAAACAGTTGTGCTGCTTCTTTTGTTTTCAGTTTACAATTTCATGCATCCTTGGTGAATAAAGTATTCATTTCTTTTACAAATTAAAACTAGTTGTGTAGTTTCATGGCTGATTTCGATTTTCGATTCACCCACCATGTAGTAAAACTGTTTTTACCCTGGCTCATATATACTCTAATGAGTCTGCTATGAAGTATTTTTAGGGAATGGTAAAAGAAATGGGACTAAATTGTAATGCTTTCCCCGGGCCCAATAAGTACCCTGTAGTTTTGAGGACCTTAGTGGGCCCCTCCAGTGAAAGGGCCCGGGACAGTCCCATCTATCAACTGTGGTGTGCCTCTATGTGTTTGACAGTTGTTAGGGATATAGATGTATAATGTAATGAATACCCTAAAAGCATCATGTGCCGTGATGTGTATTTTAAGAGACACTAGCTCTATGGCCATAATAACAGGGCAGATGGGCAGGCTGCACACTAGCGGTTATGAGGCCCAGAGCACCGGGTTGGAGCAGGGCTTGTGTTGTGGCCACCTGATGAGCATCTCCCAGCTTCAGCGCAGCCTCACTGTGGTCTTGCACCCTCATCTCACCCAAGGGTTGAGCAGGGCACGGGGTCAGAGGTCAAAGCCTGCCTCGTAACCAAGGTTTTTCAAGTGGGCAACCACATATGAACAACAGGGACGGGAAGAACTGAAAGGGAAGAGCAGCGCTGGAGGAAGAAACGCTATGAAAACACACTCGTAAGAAGAAGACACAGAGCAGTTGTATGGCCACATTAGTGAAATCCGTGAAATTTTGTGCTCAAAAAAAGTATTTTGTCAATAGTGTAGTGATGTATAAAGCACCACTCGAACAAAGTCACTTTCAAAGTAAGCAGGTCTCTGTTGGTCAACAGCAAAATTGCATGACCAACTTGAACCTGTTGCAATGTCTGTGTGGGGGAAATCTTTCGCTTTCACGCAAAATCCCCAATCGAGTAGATTCCTATGGAAATGACTGGATTTTCGCCTGTGATGTGCCAAACAATGGTAAATGTGACTTTAGAGTTATCTTTGTTAAATTGTGGTTAGTTGAGTTGTGCTGAACTAGTTTCTGTGAAGAACAGCGAGAATATTTGGGAGTGTGTTGACATTGGCTTTTGTTTGTTTGTGTAATGTACTCTGTAATCTGTATAAGATAATGTCCGTCCACTAAATCTTCAAAATAAAAAAACATTGTTTCCTATTTCTAGGTTAAATAAACAAATTAAATCACATTTGCTGACTCATAATAAACAGATAAAGGAGGCAAATGTTTAATCCTGTTTTCAAGGGGAAATTCCAAGGATTTCTTAAAGGAATAGTTCACCCCAAAAAATAAAAATAAAAAATCTGAAGGCAGTTGCTATTAGATGCTATTTACATGTGTACATAGCTAAATAGATAAAGAATGAATAAAATACAATTCTTTGCACTGTGTAAATAGTGTTATATGCTATTTATACCAGTGCTATTTTAGTTTAGTTATTTTGTAGTTTTTGTTTATATTTTAAATGAGATTTTATTTTTATATTTTCTGTTTTCACTTTAATTTTAGTTAAAGTTGTAGTGATTTTGTTGTGTTTTTGTCATTTTGTGAAGTTTTCTGTTTTTATTCATTTTAGTTTTAGTTATTTTAGTACTTCAAGTTAAACTAAATGAAAATGAGCTGAAAAAAGTTTACTTTTTATATTTTTTACTTTTTATATATTTATATTTAATTTTATTTCCATTTATTTTATAAAACATTTCATAGGGCACTATTATTATTTTTTACAATTTTAATAAATTATTCAACTTAAAGTTCTGTTGAATTCATTTGATTAGTAAAATGTAATTAGACCATTAAAATATAATCCAGAAAAATTAAAATGGAAAATGTAGAATTTGGGGTACAAAATAAAACTGAAAATTTTGGGAAGAAATAAAACAAATTTTATAGGGACCTACAGGAAGCCATTGTATGATTTCAGAAGACTTGAAATATAAAGTTACGTAGACTATTGTTATGTTTTTTTTTCTTCATTTCTTGACAACCATGATGACTATGACAATATGTCTTCAGAATTTTTTATTTTTATTTCACTGAGTAAATAATGACAGAATTGTAATTTTTAGGTGAAATCTTCCTCTAATGACGTCACTGTATTTCCTCTGCTCTGTTTTCTTCTAACAACCCAGCATGGACATTTCTAGATCACGGCAATTAAGTGCAATAGGAAGTTCACCTAATTCCAGAACCCTGAGCAAAATCAAAAGCCTGTTTGAAAAAGATTTTGGGGGAGGAAGTGAGGGGGCGGGCCCTATCTTTAACAGGAAATGCCATGTTTAAGTGAGAGGCCCGGTTCGGCGACCCAACGCTGCCTTGTGATTGGCTGGAAGGGAAGCAGAGGGGAGGAAGAGGACTTTGGGAGGATAATTATTGCTGTCTACGTGAGAGAGGACAGTGATGGAGTGATAGAGAGATGGACTGATAGAACAACCGCACAAAGGGAAGGAAGTCGGATGGTGCGAGGAGGATCTCCTGGGAGGTGTGGGAGGGATGAGGTCAAAATCCTGGGGTTTCCATGCCAACCAGACGATTGCAGTCCCATGAGCATGTGCACTCTGAGCCCGTAGATTGGGCACGTATGCATGTTTTGAATGTTACGGCCGTTTGGGGTGCGTGGGAGTTTAGAGTATATATTGCACTGATAATGAGCGGAAAAAGAACCCCATCAAAGACGTGATTTACTCCTATTTGTGTGTTATTTACATAGTAGCTCTTGAAGTTAGCATAAAATCTGCTGTCGACCCCATATATTTATTTATTTTACCTTTTTTTCTTAATACATGTTCCTGGTTTTCTTATATATATATATATACATACACTATATATATATAATATAAGTAATATCTATAAGTAATATACACTACCGTTCAAAAATTTGGGGTCAAAGAAATTTAAAGTGGTATAAAGAAATTAGTACTTTTATTCAGCAAGGACACATTGATCAAAAGTGACAGTAGAGACATTTATAAAGTTACAAATACTTCTAAATAGTCTATTTCAGATAAATTCTGTTCTTTTGAACTTTCTATTTATCAAAGAATCCTGATGGAAATGTATCCTAGTTTCCACAAATATATAAAAAAGCACAAAAATATTTCTGAAGGATCATGTGACACTGAAGACTGGAGTAATGATGCAGAAAATTCAACTTTGATCACAGGATCACAATAAATTACATTTTAAAATATATTCAAATAGAAAATTATTCATTTTAGTTTTAGTTATTTTAGTACTTCAAGTTAAACTAAATGAAAATGAGCTGAAAAAAGTTTACTTTTTATATTTTTTACTTTTTATATATTTATATTTAATTTTATTTCCATTTATTTTATAAAACATTTCATAGGGCACTATTATTATTTTTTACAATTTTAATAAATTATTCAACTTAAAGTTCTGTTGAATTCATTTGATTAGTAAAATGTAATTAGACCATTAAAATATAATCCAGAAAAATTAAAATGGAAAATGTAGAATTTGGGGTACAAAATAAAACTGAAAATTTTGGGAAGAAATAAAACAAATTTTATAGGGACCTACAGGAAGCCATTGTATGATTTCAGAAGACTTGAAATATAAAGTTACGTAGACTATTGTTATGTTTTTTTTTCTTCATTTCTTGACAACCATGATGACTATGACAATATGTCTTCAGAATTTGTTATTTTTATTTCACTGAGTAAATAATGACAGAATTGTAATTTTTAGGTGAAATCTTCCTCTAATGACGTCACTGTATTTCCTCTGCTCTGTTTTCTTCTAACAACCCAGCATGGACATTTCTAGATCACGGCAATTAAGTGCAATAGGAAGTTCACCTAATTC